CTGCCAGCGTGTCACTGCTGGATTTTGGCGCGGAACTGAGCGGTGTTTTTAGGTCGCTCAGTTTTCGTCAGCACAGTCCCAAGGCAGCTTCTTATCTCCTGCCCAATTGCGATGGTTCCTTTGGCATCGCTGTGGTGGAGAGATTCGCATCCAGTACAGTGTAGCACGCTGCTCCTGGCAGCGTATTGGGTGGCTCGTTAATTTGTCGTCAGGGGAAGTCCCTATTCGATGTGCTGCTGATGTGGCAATTTCATCCGCTCCTTGCCCCTGCTACTGTAGCGTGTCACTGCTGGATAGATTTTGGCGCGCGCGAACTGAGCGATGCTTTTTCGTTCGGGTCGCACAATTGTCGTCAGCTTGTTCCCAAGGCAGCTTCAGACGTTTTGTTAGGAGTTCCGTGAGGATGGTTCCTTGGCGAGATTGATTTATGACGTCAACAAGTCAGCTCCGCCTCCACTTTCCCGCATTTTCATCCGCGGCACACGCAAACCATCATCCGTCAGGCAGCTCGTGCTTCGGATGAGTGGTTTGTGTATGTTTCGATGGCCAAGGAGGGCGGTCCAAAGTAAAAAAGTTTTTCTTTGGAGGATCGCAACGGATGAAGAACGGAAACAAAATGCATGTCCACTACGAGCATATTAATTTAGCAAGTTTGGAAAATGGATTCACATCCCATCCGATCTGCTTACCCCAAAAAAACATTTGTCAACAAGTGGTGGTGCACCACACCACAGTTGCTGCAACATGCCCCTTACTGTAGTTTTCTCGTTGATGGCATTCTTCTGCTTCATCGTCCCATTGAGCCAGGGAATATTACAGACACACAAAAACACCCGCGAACTGAAGCGGAGTATCGCCGCTAAGACAAACACCAGAACGCCCGCGAACTGAAGCGGCTCAAAGTACCGCCGCTAAGACAGAGGCCAAACCCTTACCGCGTTAGGCGTCCTGGCGTAGGTTTTTCATTTTCCAAAACATGGTTAGGCTCGTGATTCATGAACAACTGCTTTTGTTGGGCAATTACTATATAGCTCAATGACTTATCATTCTAAACTTTAGCTCACAGTTTTCAGTCATTTACTTTCAAAGGGAGCTTCTGGAGTTCCACCTCGACCTCGATTAACGACCCTGGAGATCGGCCGCCACCAACTTCCGCCCCCAACGCCAACAATCACTCGCATCCATCCACGTCCCCGCCCCCCGCCCGGCCTACCTCACGATCTCCAGAGGTAAGCCTTGTTAAGGTTACCCTTTTTCTGCACTTGAGCCGCTGTTAATTCATTAGCCTTCGATTGTTATGTTACACTAGTCTTTTCACACCTGCACTGCTGTTTCCTTTTGAATGTTCATGTTCACCGGTTTTTTGACTTCGTTTTCTAGGATGTACTCTTTCCAGGATCAAGTAACTTGAAAACTCCTTCAAGATCACCATGGCCTACGACCAACGCTGCTGTACAACACTGTCTCCGCTGCTCCAAGTGCTCCACAAGAATTGTTCAACTCTGAAGATCCGCCACCGCCACCATCCGCCCTCAACGCCATCAACCTTCAACTCGCCTCCATCAACGAACGAACCCTCGCCCAGCCTACCGGGCGATCTTTAGAGGTACGAGTTGCTTCTTCGTTACACTCCTGTTTTTTCGCACCTGCTCTGCAATTTCCTTTCAATGTTCATGTCAAAAGGATTACTGACTTTTCTTGCTTGTACTTTTTGCAGATCAAGTAATTTGACATCTCATTCAAGATCATCATGGCCTACTCAAGGCCATGATGACAACGCTGTATCGACCTCAATTAACGACCCTGGAGATCAAGTAATTTGACATCTCATTCAAGATCATCATGGCTGCTGTACAACGCTGTATCGACCTCAATTAACGACCCTGGAGATCGACCGCCACCAACTTCCGCTCCCAACGCCAACCCTCACCCGCATCTATCCACGCCCCCGCCCCCCGCCCGGCTTACCTCACGATCTCCAGAGGTAAGCCTTGTTGAATTTACCCTTTTTCTGCACTTCTGCCGTTGTTAGTTTTTGGGCCTTTGAATTGTTTCTAATCATTTTGTGTTTAAACCTCTGCAGGTCTTGATCCCTCATCAACAATCGCTTCAACAAACGCCACATCAGTTGCAACATGCCACACGCGGGCAACCCGCGATCTGCAATGCCGTGCACTCTACTCCAATGCCACACCAGCTCCAATGGCTGTGCTGCAACGCTCTCGCGGGCAACCCGCGTTCTGCAATGCCGTGCACTCTACTCCAACACCACATCAACTCCAATGGCCATGCTTCAAGCTTCAACGACTCTAACTGGGAAGTACTGTTCTCCCCGTCCTTCTCGTTTTTCGTTTGTCGTTTTTTTTCATTGTTTCCATCCGCCGTTTCCATTCACGTCGCATTCCACCGCCCCTCTGATTCGTGGCTGCGGCTTGTAGATGTATAGCTCCTCCTCGGGTTTGGGTAGAATAGCTCGGGTTGGGTAGATTAGTTTACCTCCGCCCTCTGCAGGCCGCAGTCCGCCTATCATGGGTGTCGTTTCCCCGCCACGTTTTGTTTTCAACGTCGGTTTTCACTCGTTTTCGTTTTCGCTTTTCGTTTTCGCATTCGTTTCCTGTTTTTTCTTTCTTTTGCTTGCAATCTTTTTGTGCCGATTACTGACTTCGTGCCTTGGTCTCTTTTCAGGAATATTGGGAGCTTGAATGTCCAGCGGGGCTGCAGCAGAGTTTCAAGGAAGTTTCAACCTGCTACTGGCGACCTGCTACGGCGGCCGTGCGACAACCTGCTTTTCGCGAGCTTCAAGGGAGCCGCGTTTCACTTTCAGCATCAACGAACTGGGAAGTCCCGTTCTTTGTTTCCCCTTCGTGTTTCGATTTTTTGTTGCTCAGCTCGTCGATTTCATCCATCATTTCGCCATCGTTTCGTTTTGCATCTCGTTTTTGTGAACTTCACCGTCCCTCTGATACGTATGGCTGTAGTCCAGCAAGATGATCCTCCGCGGGTTTGGGTCGGGTTTGGGTAGAATAGGACAGCTCTCCTCCCTCTAGTTGGCTGCAGCCCATACGTATCATGGACGCTCATTTCACCATTCGTTTTTCTTCGTTTTCCTTTGTTTCTTATATGAGTTTGCTGTTTACTAACTTTGGCCTTTGCCTGTGCTCCCTCCCCCCGCTTTTCAGGAATACTGGGAGCAGGGCTTCACTCTTCAACGGATCAACCCTTGAAACAGCATCAGCTTTAACTCTTCACGGCAGCAGCAGTTTCTACGGTCATCACGACAGCAACACTTCATCACGGCAGCAGCAATTCGTAAGCTTTTCCACTTTCAGCTTTCTAATACGTTTTGTACAAGTTGCTGCTTGCAAGAAATATTCAAGTCACTGACTTTGTTTTTTTTTTTTTTTTGCAGAAAGTGCACCTTGGAGCTTCGGATCTGCACCTCGGAGCTTTGGATCTGCACCTCGGAGCTTCGGATCTGCACCTCGGAGCTTCGGATCTGCACCTCGGAGCTTCGGATCTGCACCTCGGAGCTTCGGATCTGCACCTCGGAGCTTCGGATCTGCACCTCGGAGCTTCGGATCTGCACCTCGGAGCTTCGGATCTGCACCTCGGAGCTTCGGATCTGCACCTCGGAGCTCCGGATCTGTACCTTGGAGCTTCGGATCTGCACCTCGGAGCTTCGGATCTGCACCTCGGAGCTTCGGATCTGCACCTCGGAGCTTCGGATCTGCACCTCGGAGCTTCGGATCTGCACCTCGGAGCTTCGGATCTGCACCTCGGAGCTTCGGATCTGCACCGGCAGCAGCGGTCAACGTCTTCAACGGCAGCAGCGGTCAACGTCTTCAACGGCAGCAGCGGTCAACGTCTTCAACGGCAGCAGCGGCAGCAGCGGTCAACGTTCTTCAACGGCAGCAGCGGTCAACGTCTTCAACCGCAGCAGCGGCAGCAGCGGTTTCAACGGTCTTCAACGGTAGCAGCGGTTTCAACGGTCTTCAACGGCAGCAGATCACCCCTTTAGCAGACGACCCCTTCACGAAGCAGATGTAGCAGCAGGTCAACACCGACGACGCAGCAGGACAACAGATGAAGCAGATGAAAACTCCTTCACGACGCAGCAGATGGAAACCCCTTCACGACGCAGCAGATCACCCCTTCAGCAAATAACCCCTTTAGCAGATGACCCCTTCACGAAGAAGTTGTAGCAGGGCAACACCGACGACGCAGCAGTTGTAGCAGGGCAACACCGACGACGCAGCAGTTGTAGCGGGACAACACCGACGACGCAACAGTTGTAGCGGGACAACACCGACGACGCAACAGTTGTAGCGGGACAACACCGACGACGCAGCAGTTGTAGCGGGACAACACCGACGACGCAGCGGATGTAGCAGAGAGCAGCCGCACTGAATCAGCCTAACTGAAACAGCAGCACTGAATCAGCCGCAATTCTGTGAAAGGGGGGAGACGAGGGGTGGAAGCGGCAAAAACCTTGGCAGAACGGTGGCGAGGGGTTGACTAGGATGGTGGGTGACATAGAGAGACAAGGCAACTGAGTGTGCATGCTCAGGCCAAGAGGCAGTGGCACACGTTGCCCGGGAATTTTCAAGGGAATCATGATGGAGTCTGGCCTTGACTTGCATGGTTCTGACTGCAGCAGAATCATGCTCGCAAGGTACCACACACTCCAGGCAGCGATTCTCTTGGGGTGACCCGGGAAACACGAGTTTTTCCTCACTCGCGTGGGTGAGGAGAACTTGGTGTCACGGACTTTTCCACACTGGCGTGGGTGTGGAGGGTCCTTTCCCCTTGGTGCCTTGAATCTTGTGCTACGCGCCGAACAGTCGTTTCTCAAAGCCGTAATGCTGAGGAGGGGGTGAAGGAGTGGGGAAGCTGCTAAGGGATGCTAGCAAGGCTGTTAAGGAAGTTGTGTGTTCAGAGGCTGCTAAGGAAGCTGCTAGGGAAGCTGCTAAGGGCTTCTAAGGAAGCTGTTAAGGAAAGTGCTAAGGGCTGCCAAGGGAAGCTTAAGGGGAGAAGGGGTGAAGCAGCAGAGAAAGTGTTTAGCAGCAGAGAAGGGGTTTAGCAGCAGAGACAGGGGTGAAGCAGCAGAGAAAGTGTTTAGCAGCAGAGAATGTGTTTAGCAGCAGAGAATGTGTTTAGCAGCAAAGAAAGGGGTGAAGCAGCAGAAAAATGTGAAGCAACAGATAAGGGATGGAGTAGCAGAGAAGGATGAAGTAGCAGAGAAGGATGAAGCAGCAGAGAAGGATGAAGCAGCAGAGAAGGATGAAGCAGCAGAGAAGGGGTATGAAGGAGAGAAGGGGTATGAAGGAGAGAAGGGGTATGAAGGAGAGAAGGGGTATGAAGGAGAGAGGGGTATGAAGGAGAGAAGGGGTATGAAGGAGATAAGGGGTATGAAGGAGAGAAGGGGTATGAGAAGAAGAGAAGTACAGAAGGGGTGTGAAGAAGAGAAGTACAGAAGGGGTGTGAAGAAGAGAAGTACAGAAGGGGTGTGAAGAAGAGAAGTACAGAAGGGGTGTGAAGAAGAGAAGTACAGAAGGGGTGTGAAGAAGAGAAGCACAGAAGGGGTGTGAAGAAGAGAAGCACAGAAGGGGTGTGAACGAGAAGTACAGAAGGGGTGTGAAGGAGATAAGGGGTGTGAAGCAGAGGAGAGAAGGGGTGTGAAGAAGAGAAGTACAAAAGGGGTGTGAAGCAGAGGAGAGAAGGAGAGAAGGGGTGTGAAGCAAAGGAGAGAAGGAGAGAAGGGGTGTGAAGCAAAGGGGAGAAGCAGAGAAGGGGTGTGAAGCAAAGGAGAGAAGCAGAGAAGGGGTGTGAAGCAAAGGAGAGAAGCAGAGAAGGGGTGTGAAGCAAAGGAGAGAAGCAAAGAAGGGGTGTGAAGCAAAGGAGAGAAGCAGAGAAGGGGTGTGAAGCAAAGGAGAGAAGCAGAGAAGGGGTGTGAAGCAAAGGAGAGAAGCAGAGAAGGGGTGTGAAGGAGAGAAGCAGAGAAGGGGTGTGAAGGAGAGAAGCAGAGAAGGGGTGTGAAGGAGAGAAGCAGAGAAGGGGTGTGAAGGAGAGAAGCAGAGAAGGGGTGTGAAGGAGAGAAGCAGAGAAGGGGTATGAAGGAGAGAAGCAGAGAAGGGGTGTGAATGAGAGAAGCAGAGAAGGGGTGTGAAGGAGAAGCAGAGAAGGGGTGTGAATGAGAGAAGCAGAGAAGGGGTGTGAAGGAGAAGCAGAGAAGGGGTGTGTAGCTGCCTGTGACGCATATATGCCTTGCTATGTATAAGTGAATTATCAGTATCTGGATTTGCAATGTACTTATTTTCTATGAAGATTCTGCAGCATTTACGGATGTTTGCATGCAAAATGCACATTCTGTGGGGTCTAGTAGCAGTGCAACAGGCTGCTAGCAGAACAGACATGAGAAAATCTCTTTTTGGATATGCTGGGTAAACCAGCCATTCAGTTATGCCACGAACTTGTATCGCGCTTTATTGCATCTCCTCGTCTCGTCTCATCCGCGTACAATTTGCACTCTCGATATCTTCCAGCAGTCTCATGCTAGTTCAGATCATTTTAGCACTTCGTTCAGCGGACATGGGCTTTCAGCTGTCTTGCGCGCCAAGCACGACTATAATACGCGAATCCGCGACGATTGAGACATAGAATAATTAGCCATGGACGCGCTTTTACGATTCTGAATTCTTGCGTCGCCCTTGACGGTATTAGCGTATCATTGTACATTTGTACTTCATAGATATAGTTTTTTTTTGGAGTTTCTTATTATCTTCCGTGGACATGGACTTTCGTAGATTTGCTTAGAGAAACTTCGATATCTTCCCTCAGGTCTTCCGCGGACATGGACTTTCTGCGCTCGTCGTTGCGTCTTGCACGCCAAGCACGAGCTGCGCGAAAGCGCTTCGTCGTTCCCGCATCCGTGGCGGACGATTTCGCAGTATCATCGCCGAGACTGATAACCGCCGCGACTGATTTCGCAGTATCGGCGACATTGACGAATGCGGTTACCAGTCCCGCGGAAGTTGCTTCTCAAAGCACCCGCCACGCGGCAACTCACCGCGGGTCGAATCCGCATCAAGACTCGAAGCGGCGCGCATCGAGCAATGCGTCGCGGGAACAGCGGACGTCCGCGTTTGAGACGTCCCGAAGGAAGGTTTCGCTGTGGGGGAACGGGGATCACGGACGGCTGGGGCTGGGGAGCAAGCGGGGGAAGAGCGGAGAGTCGGAGAGCGGGGAGAATAAGAAAGGCGGAGGGGGGTGGGGGTGGGGGAAAGTCGGGAGCGAAAATGGCGGAGCGGAAGCGGATAGGAATGAGGATGGGGGATCTGTGAACGTCCCACGAGTGTGTTCGGCATTGGAGGATAAGGACGTGTGCCAGGTGGCGTGCGGTGGTGCTCACACGCTCGTTCTGACAGGTACTGATGACGTGTCAGTTGCTGGTGCTGAATCAAGACGAGTTACTGCCGGCGTTCGGGTCAATGGCGTATCTAGAAGGGTTGTAAGAATCGACTTGAATCTGAATATGTTCATGCGAATCTGCGTGCGAATCTGAATGCTCTTCCATGCACATGCATGATGCATCCATCAGCTGATGGTAGGGTGCTCATCCCGGGTTACAACGACCGACCAACGATGCATACTCTTACCCCATAGGGTGCGTCTGTGCAGCGGAGCGGATGGCAGGGTGTAGAGCATAGATTTCAGCGGCGATTATTGCATAACCATACCCCGTGCGTTTTGTGCACATGCATGATGCATGATGCATCCCCCCAGCGGATGGCAGGGTGTACAGCACGGGTCTCAACGACCAAGGGCAGCTGGGGTTGGGAGACTCAACCGCTCCACCATACGTCACTGTGAGTGCTTGCTGCCCTTGATCTGTTATTGAACGCATTTTCTGCCCTTCCACCTCCCTCGCTTACTGTTCAGCAATTCCAGTCTTCTTACTAACACGGACAGACATGGTCTGTTCCGCCTGCCTTGCCTTTCAATCCGTTCTTGTACTAACATTGACACGGCCCACTCAACCTATCGCATGGATGCAATGTCTGCAATGTCTTTACCCAACATTTACTTTCACCCGGTCCTGTTTCCTTCCTGCTTGTTTCCTGCAGTCACCCAAAGAGGTGGTCGGCTTTGATCGGCCTGTAGTGGCCATTGCAGCTGCTGCCTTCCACTCAGCAGCAATAGATGGTAACTCAATCCACATTCTGATCTGATCCACCAAGCATCTATGGATAATGACGAGTTTTAAAATTTAACTACGTTTTGAGAGGTCTGGTCCATTTTCGTTTTAATCTGCATCCGTATTTTATCATCTATCCTCTTCTCCTCCCCTGTCTGTTTGTACTTCTCCCGTATCCTCACGTCCTGTCCATCAGAGGCCGGCCAAATGTATTTGTGGGGCGGCAATGCCACCCGCCAGCTTGGACTCGGCTCACGTGAGTTGTCCCCTCTGAACAGCACTCTTTCTCTTACCTGTTCTCCCTCGCTCCACTCCACCCCTATTGTTCTTCTCCGGTATTCCACCCATCTGTCTTTAGATCAATTCTGATGCCTCCACTCCCCTGCTCCCCAGAAGGTCCTTCGAAAGTGCACTTGCCCCGCGTACCAGAGGCGATGGTAGGAGTGTGCATCCAGCACGTTTTACTTCATTCATCCCTGCAACTTCTACCCAACCCCTACATGCTTGCTCCCCTTCTCCCCAGGCGCTCCATCCAAGGTGTATTCACCCCGTGTGCCTGGGGCGCTAGTAGGTAGGAGTGTGCATCCCACACATTCTCCTCTACCCATTCCTCCCACCCCCTCTAAACCCCTCCCTCTCCCCCCTCTTGCTGCGTGCTTGGTCCCCAGGCGCCCCATCCAAGGTGCATTCGCCGCGTGTCCCTGAGGCGCTGGTGGGAGTGAGCATCCAACACATGGCCCTGGGGGGTCAACACACCCTCGCTGTCACTGGTAGGCTCGTATGTACCCATGCTGCCATGCTCCCCGTCCCCCATGCTGCCATGCTCTTATGCTCCCATGCCCCCATACTCCAAGTCTTCCATGCTCTCGTGCTCCCACCCTGCCACCCTCGCAGCCGATGGTCAGCTGCTCTCGTGGGGAAAGGGCCTGCTGGGTCACGGCCCGCTGCCGCTCTTCTCCCGCCTCTCCAGGAAATCCAGGTGCGCAGCAATTCTCAAGGCTGGGGATTCCTGTTATTTTCTGTGCAACTAGTCCTCTTCCACAGCATCCATGCATTCTGCGTTCTAGTGTGCAAGTTGTGTGCACACTAGAACGCAGAATGAAGACAACTCTCGTTTAGCTTTTCTTGTTGTCTCTGCTGGTTCATTCCAAGCTGGTACTCACCTCTCCTTTCTTATCGCTCCTTCCCCCCTCCCCTCACCCTTCAACCGTCCTACGCAGTGAGTCCATCCCGCGGCTCGTGAAGGCCATGGCAAGCACCAAGGTATGCAATCTGTGAACACGAATGCAGTACAGCGTTGCGGTATAATGCCGTAGGATGGCGGAAACAGAGGGTGGCTGGTTATGGTGGGCGAAATAAACCGACGTGATGGACAGTAGCTATTTATTAGATTTCCATTCTCCCCCGATGTTTGTGTGTGCTTTGATCAGCACTTCTCCCTCTCCTGCATGTGCTTGCCATATTCGTTATCTTGTTCCCTATTTTGGCCTACACTTGCGAAATTTTTCAACTGGTAATCGTATTGCATGTGATCTTGCTGCATGTGCTCCTATTTCGTCACCAGGTCGCTCACGTGGCAGCAGGCCTGATGCACTCGGCATGTGTTGATGGTGAGCCAGCATGTGTTGATGGTGAGCCAGCATGTGTTGATGGTGAGCCAGCATGTGTTGATGGTGAGCCAGCATGTGTTGATGGTGAGCCAGCATGTGTTGATGGTGAGCCAGCATGTGTTGATGGTGAGCCAGCATGTGTTGATGGTGAGCCAGCATGTGTTGATGGTGAGCCAGCATGTGTTGATGGTGAGCCAGCATGTGTTGATGGTGAGCCAGCATGTGTTGATGGTGAGCCAGCATGTGTTGATGGTGAGCCAGCATGTGTTGATGGTGAGCCAGCATGTGTTGATGGTGAGCCAGCATGTGTTGATGGTGAGCCAGCATGTGTTGACAGGATGTATTGCATACATGTGCCTTACTGCGCCTCCCTTCAAGTGTGTACATTCATGTCACTGATTGTTTACTTCCCTGTGGATTCATCCACGTGTGTGTCTGCTTGTGCCTTCTCTGTGCATTTCTGGCAGACAGCGGCCGCCTGTACATGTTTGGGGGAAACAGATTCTCTCAGCTGGTGAGTCTGTGCGAGTGGGAATGTGAAAGCAAGCTAGTTCGTGTGTGAGTACGTACGTGTTCACGTGTGAATGCAAGTGTGTGGGCACATTGCATTCACCTGCACGTGTGCCCAGGAGCGCATCATACACGCTGCATGCCCACATCTGTGCCCTGCTAGGATGGGCAGCGCAAGGACTTGGAGGAGCCCTGTGCACCTAAATTCAACCAATCTACCTGAAAATATCCAAACAGTGGCACGTTATTTGCTGCTGAATGCATGCATTTATGATGGCATGTGTCCGTGCATGCATGTGCATGCATGATGTCATGCGTGCATGATGGCAGGGCCTGGGGGATGAGAAGGATCGGGAGGAACCGGTGGAGCTGAGATCTCTGCAGCATGCTGTAACGGATGTGGCGTGTGGTGGTTACCACACCGCTGCTGTCACAGGTGCTGACATGGTGCTTTGTTCATCTGATTTCCATCTCGCATTCTTTATGCTCCTTTCGAACTCTCGTTCCTGACCTTCTGTGTCATCGTTTTCCTTACATGTCTACAGGGGCTGGGCACCTATTCACATGGGGGGCAAACGAGTATGGCTGCCTTGGACACGGGTGTGTGCCAGGTTATCCTACGCTCCCATCTGTGTGACTAGAGCTCGTTGTCTTTTCCTTAGGATCAAAATTGATTTTTTTTGTCGCGCTGGTGTTGTGCATCTTTTGAGAGCCATCTCGCCTCACCTTTCCTCACCTCTCTGCACCCCTCTCTCCTGTCCTCTCAATTCCTCCCCTCGCGTCTCGCTTCAAGCAGCCCTCGCCATGCACCCTCGTCAGCAGTCCCAGTGAGGGTGGCAGGCAGGTTGGCAGGCAAGCAGGTGCTTCAGGTGTCATGTGGATGGAAGCACACCGCAGCTCTTGCCAGTAAGTGCACTGCTCGGTCTCACAAGTCACAGTACAAAAACAAACATAGGCTGTTGCTCTTTGCAGTTGTTGTGCATGAAGCTGGTATGTCTGAACCTTGCGGCATGGCATTAGTCTTCATTGTTTCTCTCTTGCGCCGTGACGTGGTGTTCAAATCAGGTGGTGCTGACGAGGGTGAAGGGCAATCATTGCGGGCGGCAACAGTTGGCAAGCTGTACACATGGGGTTGGGGCGGTTCCCAAGGATCGCATGCTGTGGAGTCAAGGTCTACAGGAGGCCAATTGGTATGCGGTGGTAGGGGAATATTGGGGATGGTGCAATTTGTTCTGCAGATGTGGCCTTGTGCTCCTGTGCTTGACTTAACCTTTTCCCTCAATAATTTTCTGTCGTGGATTTTTTCAGGGGCTTGGAAATGAGTTTGAGTTCTTTGAACCCATGCGGGTGTCATACGGAGCGTTTGAAAAAAACCCTCAACAAGGCAATAGCGTCTCAAATGTCCTTCAAGTATCATGTGGTTTCAACCACACTGCTGCCATCATATCTCAAATTCCTTGTATCTAGTGATTTCCATAAATTGTTCACACCATGCGTTGCAAAGCCATAGCGCCCTTAGCGAATCTGTCAGACGCTATTCTCCTCCATCAACCAATCTTCGCCGTCGATTTTCACTGTGCCTGACGGCATCGGAGCCTGCATTGCAGAACTGTCAGTCGCCATTCTCCCAATCACCAATCACCTGTCAGCCCACCCCGTATCAACGTCTATTTCTCCGTCAAGACAAATTCTAGTTTCTCGTCTTGTCTGTAATCGTCATCTGATATCTCTGCTGTTCGCCTGGTCTACTGGTCCGCGAATGACCGTTTATCTGAGAACGCGCTTCGACTAGACAGTTAATAAGTTAATGTAGAGCGAAGCAAATTCATGAGGCCTTCGATAAGTCATTCGGATGCCCTACTAGATGGCGAATCGCAACAGCCCTTATGGGAGGGTCGGCATTCCGACAATGACGGGGCGCATGAGTTCCTGTAGTTCACGTCTAAGAGCTTGCGAGGCGCTCCTCTCGTCATGGCGGTATTAAAGTGGCCGCTCCGCATTCCTACATAGGTTGTGCCGACGATTGATGGAATGCTGAAAAGCTTGTTAGTGACTTTCATTTGAAATCCGACGAATTCAGCACTGCATGTCACCCAATGCGCTTTTCGCCTCTAGAGGCGTCCGTAACCAAGTTGCTATCGCGTTCTTAGCTCTCAACGGTTTTCGAGTGAATATTCGTTAGTGCTCATTAGTAATACAAGTAGCCTCCGACGCGTACCTATCATGCTGGTATGCGTCTGTAGCCCAGCAGTCATTGCCTCGCAAGCAACCAGATACACACGCGTTAAACAACCTAAATGTCAAATACTTGTTAGCGACAGCAAGCGAGTATCCCCGTGTATCCCCGCTAGACACCAGATAGCTCAAATTCCGTGCTCCAGAGCCAAGCAGCACTTGCAGATCTGAGCTCAAATCGAGCTTATTCCTAACCTCCGTTCTCGCGGCCGGCAGCAGCAGCACTAGCTGCAGCACCACCACTAGCAGGAACAGCAGCAGCGGCAGCAGCGGGCATGGAGGCATATTTCTGGGTGGTGTTCGCGGTGCTGGTGGTGCTGTGCCTGGCGCTCGAGTTCTCCCGCGGATCCAAGGACCGCGCGCAGACCACCCCCGCGTTCGAATCCTTTAAGAACAACTACCTGCTCGTGTACTGCCTCATGATGGGTACGTGCCGAATAATGAGTCAGCTTGTAATGGGGATGAGTTCTCTCAGGGCTCCAAGGATCGCGCTCGGACCACCCCCGCGTTCGAGTCCTTCAAAAACAACTACCTTCTCGTCTATTGCCTCATGATGGGTATGTGATGGATGCTGAGTCACTATGACTATGACATGATATGATGTAATGGTTACACAGCATATCTCAATGCTACACCATATGTTACATATCACCTGACCATTACTGCAGCATTCCGTTCCCTGACTCCTGCTCTCGCCCCGCGCCCTTCATATCGCTCATGCGCTTCCCACCCTACTCACCCCTCCTCATGCCACGTGGCAGCGGGCGATTGGCTGCAGGGGCCGTACGTGTACGCGCTGTACCAGCACTACGGGTACGACAAGGGCGACATCGGCCGCCTCTTCATCGCTGGATTCGGGTCCTCCATGGTCTTTGGCACCATCGTGGGGTCGCTGGCAGACCGCCAGTGAGTGCAGTGCCTCTATTGTTTCTTATCTCTCCCTCCAGTGCATGATGCTCACAACATACTCACTCCACCACTTCATCGCTGGCTTGGCTCCTCCATGGTCTTTGGCACCATCGTGAGCTCTCTGGCTGACCGACAGTGAGTGCCGTCCTTACCTCTTCTAATCTCTACCCACGATCCTTGACGCTTACACTGTGCCCACAGTGGGCTCTCTTCATCACTGGATTTGGTTCCTCCGTGGTCTTCAGCACAGTCGTGTGGTCGCCGGCTGACAGGCAGTGAGCATTCCTAATACAATGATGACAGGCTGGGAGGCTTTCATTGCTGGCTTCAGCTCCTCCATGGTCTTTGGGACCATCGTGGGGTCTCTGGCTGACAGACAGACAGTGAGTGTGCTTGCTGTCTCTTAGCTCGCCTCACAATCCGTAACGCTTAAAGCTTGCCCGGGGTGGATTCTCGTCATTGCCGGCTTCGGCTCCTCCATGGTCCCCTGCATGGTCCCCTGCATGGTCTACTGCGTGACATACATCCTCAGCTGCCACGCCAAGCACTTTCCCTCTTTCCTCTCCCCTCCACTTTCCTCCCTAACCCTTATACCCTGAACCCCAATCCCCCCCCCCAGTGGGCGTCGCCTGGCCTGCGTGCTCTACTGCATTACATACATCCTGAGCTGTCTCACCAAGCACTTCCCGGCCTTCTCCATCCTCGTGCTGGGTCGTGTGCTGGGCGGCATAGCCACCTCGCTGCTCTTCTCCGCCTTTGAGTCCTGGCTCGTCGCTGAGCACTTTGCTCGGGGTTTTGAGCCGCCCTGGTTGTCGATCACATTCTCCAAAGCCATCTTCCTGGGAAATGGCCTCGTGGCGATACTTTCAGGTGAGACGTGTGTGCTCGTAATGAGACTGTCTGGTATCATGTTTGAGACACTGCAAGGCACTTCCTTTCTGAAGCTTTGAGCCGCCCAGGCGCTCCATCATCCCAGCCATCCCCTTTTTCCCTATCCCCCACACACCACAGCTCCCTTCGCTCCACCCAGCCATTCCAACACACACACACGCCCCACACACACCTCCTACAAACCTCTTCCTTCCCAACCCCACCGCAGGCCTGGTGGCCAACGTGCTGGTAACAGACCTCAACCTCGGCCCAGTAGCGCCCTTTGATGCCGCATCAGTGCTGCTAGCGGGGGGAATGGCGGTGATAGTGGGCACGTGGAGTGAGAACTATGGGGACTCTGATCAGTCGCACGGGCTGCTGCTGCAGTTCCAACTCGCCTACCATGCCATCGCCTCAGGTACCACCAGACAAGTCTTTTTGCCATATTGCTGCCACTGATCTACACCCTCGTTGCTTTGGGAGGGAGTCTGGTGTGGGCGTACACTGCCGTAGCTTCAGGTAGAAAGAGGTCGCATGTTGGCAGTTACCACCATATCTTCTCATCCTCCTAGTCGCATGTCTGCATGATGAGAAGATTGATCGCTCTGTTAGAGGCCATCCAGGCCCGGTTCGCCCTCCTTCCTTTTCCTCTGCACGCCATTGCTCTGCCATCCCTGTCTGTTTCTCTTTCCCCCCACATCCCCCTCATCCAGATGAGAAGATTGCCATTCTAGGAGCCATCCAGTCGCTCTTCGAGGCCAGCATGTACACGTTCGTGTTCCTCTGGACGCCAGCGCTCGCCCCTTCACAGCAGGCCATACCGCACGGCTTCATCTTCTCGCTCTTCATGCTCGCATCCATGCTCGGCTCCTCCCTGGCCTCCCGCCTCATGGGCCGTGCGGGGCTGAAGGTCGAGGTCTACATGCAGGCTGTCTTTGCCATCTCCTCGCTCTCGCTGCTCCTTCCGTGCATCGTCAATGTGAGCGTCTCCTAGGCCCACACCCACGTCCCCGTCTTGTCCCTCTCTCTGCTCCTGCCCTGCATCCTCGCACGTGATTCGTTCATGTCTGTGTGGGTGTGTTCTGGCCGTCCCTCATGCGTATGCACGCCCAGTAGCTCCCTCATGCCATCGTCTTTGTTAGATTATACTACTCTTCTGTATCCTGCATTGATCCTATAAACCCTAGGATAGAGATAGGCACCCAAACAATGTTTGGGTGCACAACTAGGGTTAACCCTAGGTGGGGGTTGGAACCCAACCTTGGCCCAATTATTGGACCCCAAGGTTGGGTTGGAGGATTATTGGCCCCCCCAATAATGTTGGCCCACTTTGACCAACATTATTGGGACCCCCCAATAATTCTCCAACCCAACTTATTGGTGGGGGCCAATAATGTTGGCTAGGTACCAACCACCCCCCTTTCCTTAGCTCCAACTATGTAAGCCCTCATCATTCCTAATCAACTCATCGGTTCAATTCTCACAGTCTTCACATTCTCTCCCTCCATCTCCCCTTCCCGTTCCCGCCCAGTGGTTCTTGGAGCCCCACCCCCCTCCAGGGGGTGGCATCACAGCAGGAGGCCGCGTGCAGCTAGCGGGGCTCTGTGTGTTTGAGGCATGTGTGGGCGTGTCCTGGCCGTCGCTCATGCCCTCTTATCCACACACTCCCTCTCACTCCGCCTCTCCACCTCCCATTCCCCAGTGGGTCCTGGAGCCCCACCCTCCACCAGGGGGCGGCATCACACCGGGAGGCCGCGTGCAGCTGGCGGGGTTCTGTGTGTTTGAGGCGTGTGTGGGCGTGTTCTGGCCGTCGCTCATGCGCATGCGAGCACAGTACCTGCCAGAGGAGTCCCGATCCACCATCATGAACTTCTTCCGCGTCCCCCTCAACGTCTTCGTCTGCCTTGTTCTCTACCACGTAAGTTCTCTCACCACCACCATGTGCTGTACCACGGGGTTCCGTCAAGGCCAATCAGGCCAGCCACCTCATTCATCCGAAGGTCTGCAGTGTGTGCATGCGAGCACAGTGTGTGCATGCGAGCACAGTGTGTGCATGCGAGCACAGTGTGTGCATGCGAGCACAGTGTGTGCATGCGAGCACAGTGTGTGCATGCGAGCACAGTGTGTGCATGCGAGCACAGTGTGTGCATGCGAGCACAGTGTGTGCATGCGAGCACAGTGTGTGCATGCGAGCACAGTGTGTGCATGCGAGCACAGTGTGTGCATGCGAGCACAGTGTGTGCATGCGAGCACAGTGTGTGCATGCGAGCACAGTGTGTGCATGCGAGCACAGTGTGTGCATGCGAGCACAGTGTGTGCATGCGAGCACAGTGTGTGCATGCGAGCACAGTGTGTGCATGCGAGCACAGTGTGTGCATGCGAGCACAGTGTGTGCATGCGAGCACAGTGTGTGCATGCGAGCACAGTGTGTGCATGCGAGCACAGTGTGTGCATGCGAGCACAGTGTGTGCATGCGAGCACAGTGTGTGCATGCGAGCACAGTGTGTGCATGCGAGCACAGTGTGTGCATGCGAGCACAGTGTGTGCATGCGAGCACAGTGTGTGCATGCGAGCACAGTGTGTGCATGCGAGCACAGTGTGTGCATGCGAGCACAGTGTGTGCATGCGAGCACAGTGTGTGCATGCGAGCACAGTGTGTGCATGCGAGCACAGTGTGTGCATGCGAGCACAGTGTGTGCATGCGAGCACAGTGTGTGCATGCGAGCACAGTGTGTGCATGCGAGCACAGTGTGTGCATGCGAGCACAGTGTGTGCATGCGAGCACAGTGTGTGCATGCGAGCACAGTGTGTGCATGCGAGCACAGTGTGTGCATGCGAGCACAGTGTGTGCATGCGAGCACAGTGTGTGCATGCGAGCACAGTGCGTGCCTGAGGAGTCCCCTCCACCATCATGAACTTCTTCCGCGTCCCGCTCAACGTGTTCGTCTGCCTTGTGCTCTACCACGTGGGTCTTCCCTTGCTCTCTAACACAGTGATGGGGGTGAAGGCGATGATGGGGGTGATGGGGGTGATGGGGGTGATGGGGGTGATGGGGGTGATGGGGGTGATGGGGGTGATGGGGGTGATGGGGGTGATGGGGGTGATGGGGGTGATGGGGGTGATGGGGGTGATGGGGGTGATGGGGGTGATGGGGGTGATGGGGGTGACGGGGGTGATGGGGGTGATGGGGGTGATGGGTGTGATGGGGGTGAAGGGGGATCCGATGTGCATCACCCACTTCCTTCCTCACTCACTTCCCCACCTCACAACCCTCCTCCTTCCCTGTTACACCCACCCATGTGTCTCATGAGCATTCTCCTTGTTACTCCCCTTCCACCGTGTCTCCTTGTTACTCCCCTTCCACCGTGTTTCCTGCACTCCCCTCAATGCCGCCCAACTCTATCTAAACCCCCGCCAGGTGCAAGCCTTCCCAATGACGGCCATGTTGCTCATGGGGCGCTGCCGTCAATACTCTCCTTCTGTCTCGTTTCCCATTGCAATCCCCCTCGTTTCCTTCACTTCCCTGCCAGGTGCGAGCCTTCCCAATGACGGCCATGTTCCTCATGTGCTCGCTCTTCCTCGCCATCGCTGCTCTCCTGCAGCGCCGCCTGCTCCACCTCGCTCTCAGCGCCCTGCCCCAGGGTGAGTGCACACCACTCATACCTTTCTGTCTGGTTCAGTTGCTCTCATCCATCCACGCATGCTCTCATCGCACAACAACGCATGCACTCGTACGCACATGCACAGTCAGCCATGTCTTTCATCCTCCCTGCGTGCTAATCCTCCCTGCGTGCTAATCCTCCCTGCGTGCGAATCCTCCCTGCGTGCTAATCCTCCCTGCGTGCTAATCCTCCCTGCGTGCTAATCCTCCCTGCGTGCTAATCCTCCCTGCGTGCGAATCCTCCCTGCGTGCTAATCCTCCCTGCGTGCTAATCCTCCCTGCGTGCGAATCCTCCCTGCGTGCTAATCCTCCCTGCGTGCGAATCCTCCCTGCGTGCTAATCCTCCCTGCGTGCTAATCCTCCCTGCGTGCGAATCCTCCCTGCGTGCTAATCCTCCCTGCGTGCGAATCCTCCCTGCGTGCTAATCCTCCCTGCGTGCGAATCCTCCCTGCGTGCTAATCCTCCCTGCGTGCTAATCCTCCCTGCGTGCGAATCCTCCCTGCGTGCTAATCCTCCCTGCGTGCGAATCCTCCCTGCGTGCGAATCCTCCCTGCGTGCGAATCCTCCCTGCGTGCGAATCCTCCCTGCGTGCTAATCCTCCCTGCGTGCGAATCCTCCCTGCGTGCGAATCCTCCCTGCGTGCTAATCCTCCCTGCGTGCGAATCCTCCCTGCGTGCCAATCCTCCCTGCGTGCGAATCCTCCCTGCGTGCTAATCCTCCCTGCGTGCTAATCCTCCCTGCGTGCTAATCCTCCCTGCGTGCTAATCCTCCCTGCGTGCTAATCCTCCCTGCGTGCTAATCCTCCCTGCGTGCGAATCCTCCCTGCGTGCTAATCCTCCCTGCGTGCGAATCCTCCCTGCGTGCGAATCCTCCCTGCGTGCTAATCCTCCCTGCGTGCGAATCCTCCCTGCGTGCTAATCCTCCCTGCGTGCGAATCCTCCCTGCGTGCTAATCCTCCCTGCGTGCTAATCCTCCCTGCGTGCTAATCCTCCCTGCGTGCTAATCCTCCCTGCGTGCTAATCCTCCCTGCGTGCTAATCCTCCCTGCGTGCTAATCCTCCCTGCGTGCTAATCCTCCCTGCGTGCTAATCCTCCCTGCGTGCTAATCCTCCCTGCGTGCTAATCCTCCCTGCAAGCTCCTCTTCCCCTCGTGCTCAACCTCCCTACGCTCTGCGTGTTCTTCCTCACTCCCCCCTATCCGCCCATCAGCCATAGCGAATCAGACCCCGAGTCCCATTGACTGGGAGCTCAAGGCACACAGCTCTGATGGGGAACCGCCTGGTCTGCTGCTGTGACTCTTCCAGCATTCCTAGGGAGATTGGATGACACGAGCTTCTGTGATAGAAAAGAGCCTTGCTTTCAATAGAGACCTAATGCAGCGGCAGCTGCAGGTAAAATTGGTTCATGCTATGAGCTGAGTGGGCGTTGCTCTAACAAACACCGCACCACCCATTCGTGGTGATTCCTCATCTCCTGTAACAGGCCGTATCGATGGAACAATGTTCGGGATAGGTGGAGTGGAGTAGAGAGCTGGCTGAAGAGCACATCTGTCCAGGCTTGCGGCACATCATTCATTCACCATGCTTGCCCGAGTTGGAACCACCTGCTCGCTCGTCTACGGAACAGCTTCATGAAGAAACAGATTTTCATTGTTGGATTTAAATATGCTCTAAGCATGGCCCACAGCTACATCCTTATGACACAAGTGCTCTTGCACGCCCGGCCTGGCCTTGACTCCTCTCCAGCCCTAGTGCTGTAGGGATTCTTCTAACACCTCTACCCATGCTCCCGCCTCCCGAGATTGAACAAGTGTTTTGAGAACGTCTCTAAAAGCACTTGTTCAATCGCCCGGCCTGGCCTTCCCTGCTCTCCAGCCCTCGTGCTGGAGTTCTTCAACAGGCGTGCTGGCGGGATTCTTCTAACATCTCTACCCATGCTCCCGCCTCCCTCACCACCATCTCCTGCTGCCGCCCTGCTGCCCTGCTGCCCTGCTGCCCTCTTCCCAGAAATTCCCGCTTTCTGCCATCACAGGCAATATCAGCCCAATGCAGCAATCAGGCCCACATCCTCCTCTGTCAATCACCACTGCGCTTTCCACCACCGCCCCGCCCCCTCCCCCCCCTTCCCCCGCCGCCTCTTCCCCTTCCACCCCTTCCCCCGCCACCCCTTGCACCACTACCTCTTCCCCCAAAACCTCTCACCAAACCACCTCCCCCCACACCACCCCTTCTTCCGCCACCCCTCCCCCCACCACCACCCCTTCTGCCTCTCCCCCCTTCACGCCTCCCTTTCCCCTTGCGCTCATCTCCTGCCGGTCCCCTTGCCGCACCACCTGCCCCTTCCTCCACAGCTGCACTCATCTCAGCTCCAGCAGTTGCCTTTGAAGCTTTGCGCTTCTTCTGCTTCTTCTGCAACCCCTCTTCCCCTCCTGCTGTGTCTCCTGCATCCTCTGTTCCTCCTCCTCCTCCTCCTTCTCCTTCTTCCTCTCCTTCTTCCCGCCTTGCACCGGCTGCCGCCCGCTTCTTTCCCTTCATCTGCTCTCCAGGAAGCTTCTTCCCGCCGCCCGCTTTGGGCGGCGAAGTGTCACCGGTCCAATCATGGAGCGCCAGTACAGCAGATTCCGAGAGAACCGATTCGTGCAGATGCTTTAGATACAGCTCCCAGAACTCGACCCTGTGGGGAAGGAGGGGGGTGGAGAGGAGGAACGGGGGAGAGAGAGGGGGTGGGGGGAGGAAAGGGGGAGCCGGAGAGAACTGATTCGTGCAGATGCGTCAGATACCACCCCCAGAACTCGACCCTGTATAGAGGGCGAGGGAAGGGAAAGGAAAGAGGGAAAAGTTAGACGAAGGGGTGAAGCAGAGAAGGGGTGAAGCAGAGAGGGAGGGGATCAGTAGCGCGAGGTGAGTTGTGAGTGGTGTGTCAAGACCAAAATCATGAGACGGATGTAGTAAAAGGTGCACAAGTCGGGACCATTTACAGAGAAAGAAGAAGGGCAGGGGGAAGGAAAGGGCGGCTGGAGAATGGGGGGTATGGGGCTTGGGGCATGGGCAGGGGCAGGGGCATGGGCATGGGCATGGGCATGGGCATGGGCATGGGCATGGGCATGGGCATGGGCATGGGCATGGGCATGGGCATGGGCATGGGGCATGTGGGAACGCGAGATAGGCTGGTAGGCTCACTGGACATGAGGCATGCAGAGGAGGGTGAAGGCCTTGGGCGATGGCAGCAGCAATCGAAATGAGGGATGGGGCATGGAGCATATGGCACAGAGAGTGAAGCTCACCGCACGTCAGGCATGGAGAGGAGGGTGAAGGCCTTGGGCGATGGTAGCATGTCCAGCACCACCACACGGACACAGGCAAGACGTAGGGCACCGCATGAGAGGAGCTTCAGCAGCCTGGTGGGTGCATTGGCGGGGAGGTGGGTGGGTGGTTAGAAGGGTGGGTGGGGCATGTGAGGGAAACAGGGGGGCAGAGTGGCGCTGGCAGCATGTCGAGCACCACCACTCGCAGGCAGGCGAGCCGAAGGGCACCGGAGGAAAGCAGTTTCAGCAGCCTGGATGGTGCATCGGTGGGGAGGTGGGTGGGAGGGTGGGTGCGGGCATGTGAGGAAGGTAGTGGCTTCACCAGCCTGGTTGCAGCAGCCTGGTTGGGGACTGTGAAGAGCAGGGAGTTGGAGGTCGCAGCTTCACACTCGCCTGTTGGGCGTGCCAGCAGCTTCACACTCGCCTGTTGGGCGTGCCAGCAGCTTCACACTCGCCTGTTGGGCGTGCCAGCAGCTTCACACTCGCCTGTTGGGCGTGCCAACAGCTTCACACTCGCCTGTTGGGCGTGCCAGCAGCTTCACACTCGCCTGTTGGGCGTGCCAGCAGCTTCACACTCGCCTGTTGGGCGTGCCAGCAGCTTCACACTCGCCTGTTGGGCGTGCCAGCAGCTTCACACTCGCCTGTTGGGCGTGCCAGCAGCTTCACACTCACCTGTTGGGCGTGCCAGCAGCTTCACTCTCGCCTGTTGGGCGTGCCAGCAGCTTCACACTCACCTGTTGGGCGTGCCAGCAGCTTCACTCTCGCCTGTTGGGCGTGCCAGCAGCTTCACACTCGCCTGTTGGGCGTGCCAGCAGCTTCACACTCGCCTGTTGGGCGTGCCAGCAGCTTCACACTCGCCTGTTGGGCGTGCCAGCAGCTTCACACTCGCCTGTTGGGCGTGCCAGCAGCTTCACACTCGCCTGTTGGGCGTGCCAGCAGCTTCACACTCGCCTGTTGGGCGTGCCAGCAGCTTCACACTCGCCTGTTGGGCGTGCCAACAGCTTCACACTCGCCTGTTGGGCGTGCCAGCAGCTTCACACTCGCCTGTTGGGCGTGCCAGCAGCTTCACACTCGCCTGTTGGGCGTGCCAGCAGCTTCACACTCGCCTGTTGGGCGTGCCAGCAGCTTCACACTCGCCTGTTGGGCGTGCCAGCAGCTTCACACTTGCCTGTTGGGCGTGCCAGCAGCTTCACACTCGCCTGTTGGGCGTGCCAACAGCTTCACACTCGCCTGTTGGGCGTGCCAGCAGCTTCACACTCGCCTGTTGGGCGTGCCAGCAGCTTCACACTCGCCTGTTGGGCGTGCCAGCAGCTTCACACTCGCCTGTTGGGCGTGCCAGCAGCTTCACACTCGCCTGTTGGGCGTGCCAGCAGCTTCACACTCACCTGTTGGGCGTGCCAGCAGCTTCACTCTCGCCTGTTGGGCGTGCCAGCAGCTTCACACTCACCTGTTGGGCGTGCCAGCAGCTTCACTCTCGCCTGTTGGGCGTGCCAGCAGCTTCACACTCGCCTGTTGGGCGTGCCAGCAGCTTCACACTCGCCTGTTGGGCGTGCCAGCAGCTTCACACTCGCCTGTTGGGCGTGCCAGCAGCTTCACACTCGCCTGTTGGGCGTGCCAGCAGCTTCACACTCGCCTGTTGGGCGTGCCAGCAGCTTCACACTCGCCTGTTGGGCGTGCCAGCAGCTTCACACTCGCCTGTTGGGCGTGCCAGCAGCCACCTGTGATGCACGGGTCCCTTCCCTTTAACATCTCCACCCGCTCCTCCACCTTGAGGTGCGTCTTGCTCACCGTGCATCACCCATAATTTACCATGCAAGCCTCTCAGCCCCAAAAGTTGTTGGGAGTGCCAGCGGCGAAGTGCACCTGGCCTTTCAGCAGCTCCACCTGCTCCTCCACCTTGAGGTGCTTCTTGTTCACCGAGCATCATCGTCTCTCGATATGAATCACCTCTCAACCGGGAATGGCTCACCTGTTGGGAGTACCAGCAGCGATGTGTGCTGGTCCCACGCCCTTCAAAGCATGCACTAGCCATGACCCTTGCACGCACCCGTTGGGAGTACCGGCTGCAATATGAACAGGCCCCTTCAACACCTCCACCTGCTCCTCCACCTTGAGGTGCTTCGCGAACAGCTTGGCCACGCGGCACCCTCGCCCCACGCCCTTGCTCTGCCCCACGCCCTTGCTCTGCCCCACGCCCTTACACGCACGCACGCAAGCTTCAGGCGCTCACCTGTTGGGAGTGCCAGCAGCAATATGAACAGGTCCCTGCAGCACCTCTTTTTGAGTCGACTCAAAAATATCTTCAGGCGCTCACCTGTTGGGAGTGCCAGCAGCAATATGAACAGGCCCCTGCAGCACCTCTACTTGTTCCTCCACCTTGAGGTGTTTGGCGAACAGCTTGGCCACGCGGCACCCAGTCTTGACCGTGCAGCACGTCTCAACCCAGAATGACTCACCTGTTGGGGGTGCCAGCAGCGATGTGCACGGGCCCTTTCAGCATCTCAACTTGCTCCTCCACTTTCAGGTGTTTAGCGAACAGCTTCGCCACGCGGCACCCACGCCCCACGCCCTTGCACGCCCTCAGCAGGTCCACACACCGCACTGCCGAAGCTGACACTATCAGCACCACCGGACTCCCCGCCTCCCACTCTGCGTCTCCCTCCTCTTCTTTCCCCCCCTGCTGCCCCTGCTGCCCCTGCTGCCCCTGCTGCTGATTCTGCCCCTTTGGCTTCCGCCCTTGCCCCTTCTTTTGATCCTTGTCTGTTTCTTGCTTGTCGCCAGGTGGCAGCAGCAGCGACCGCCACGTGGCGCCGAGACTGCGCTTCAGGTGGTCGGCAAGACTCGGCCCCACGTGGGCGGCGGCAGACTCGCTGCCGGCCTTACCTCCCCTCCCTGCTCCCCTGCCGCCCGCCCCTCTGCCGCCCGCTTGCCCGCCGCCCGGTCCCCTGCCGCCCGGTTGCGCACCTGGCGCCTGGGTGGTGGTGCTGGGGGCGGGCTGCTGCGGCGAGGAGGGTGAGTGGATGTTGTAGATCGCAATGGACGAGGCTGGAGGGGACAGGGGAGAGGTGAGAGGAGACAGGGGGGGGGGGGAGGTGAGAGGGGCAAATGTGATTGAATGTGGCAGAACGAGTGGGGCGATGCCTCTCTGCTGCGGGAGGGTGCGTGGATGTTGTAGATCGCAATCGACGAGGCTGCGCGGGGACAGGGGAGGGGAAGGGCGAGGGAGAGGAAGAGGATTGGAAGAATGAAAATGTTGGCAAACTTTGACCCAAATCTTGTTGTCGTAACTCCTTGGGCAGACCCCTCGCAACGCAGCTGGAATCACTCGCTCGCGCGCCATCGGCGACAGACACCTCGGGCAATTCGCCACTACCTGTGCTTGAACAACTTCGACCCATGCGCTCTTAACCCCTCAACCCCGACTAACCCCGGCTAACCCCTGCGGCAGGCACATCGCAGCGCACCTGGGATCACTCGTTCGCGCTCAACGGACGACATGCTTCTGCCGCAGTTCGCCACCACCTGCGCCTGAAACCACTCCGCCGCCGCCGCTGCTGCCGCCGTTCCCCCTCCACTACCGCTTCCGCGTTCTTTCCCCTGGGTGGCACTCCGCGCAGCGGCCGCCGCCGCTTCCGCGACCAGCTTGTGCGCCTTGATGCGCCTCTGGCTGGCGGCCTCCGCGTCTAGTTGCGGAAGCAGCTCGCGCGGGGAAAGCTCCGCGTCCGCTTCCGCGAACCCGTGGGCATCATTGTCGTCTTGCGGAACTTCCCCCTCTTCCGCTTCCTCCTCTTCCGCATCTTCCCCCAATTCCGCATCTTCCGCCCCTGCTACCAATTTGTCCTCAGCTGCTGCGCTTGACATTTCCCCCTGTTGCTCCGCTTCCCCCTGTTCTCCCCCGTCCTCCTCCGCCTCATCCCGCTCATCCGTAAGCTTACCCTTCTCCCCCCCCTCTTCCTTATGCGCGCCCGCCTCACTCCCCTCACCCCTGGCCTTCCGCGCTCTCTTCTTCTTCCCTTCCCCGGCCGACGCCGCGCCTCCCGCCGTGCTTACCGCTGTCGCAACGGTGCCTATGTCCGCGCCGACACGTGGATCGCCTTCATTGGCTGGATCCGCTCTACGTTTCTTGCCGCTCGTCTTCTTCCCGTCCTTATCACCGTCCACCGTCATATTGGAGGCACTCTATGAGATTTCTCAAAATTTCCTCCACGCTACGATTCCACTCTGGAGTCTAAACTTTGGCGACAGGCCACGCGCTGTGTGCTAATGATGGGGCGAATTTGAAGGTCGCAGATTCTCTCGAGGTTGAGGGTTGGAGGTTGTGGGGTTTCTGGTGGTGAGGCGCGTGAAAGGCGTGGGCCTTCGAGGTGGTACCTCGTTACAAATTTCCTCGCTGTGCCTGTATACCAGCATAGCATTTTAGCACCGGCTTGCAAACACGTGTCAATTCAAGCATCCAAAATACTCAGTCAAGCAGTGCTAAGCTACTGAAACCGGCATTAAGACACTGTTGACTGGTCCCATTATTCAAAATACAATTCTTCAAAGCACAAATACTTTACAAGGTCCTTCCTACTCTGAATCTACACCTACAATATATAGAAAACATCACATACCAGATACAAACCATGCGTAAGATAAATGTAGATCAGGCTTCAGAATTTAAAACGTTCTCTCTAATCAATCATCCAAAATCGCCAAAGCGGCATCTACACTTGACGCTTCACCACCTGTTACACCTGCCTGAGTTGTGTCGGCAACAATCTCTTGATCTTCTTGTAATGACTCCAATATCTGCTCCACACTTGGTACACTTGCACCTGCTTTATCATCCGCCAAAGCAGCACCGGCATTGTCCGAGCCTCGGTTGCTCCCATCGTTGCTGCCTTGGCCGGGCCTGGCCAGGTCCGGGACGGAGGAGGCTCGGAAGAGTTCCTCATCAGGAATGGCAGCCGGCAAGTCCTGGAGTGCATAGGAAAGGAGTGGGAAGGGGGGACGCACATAATGGGGAGGTTAGGAGAAAGGGTTGTTCATGTAAGGTCAGTGAGGTTGGAGGCCAAGAGAAGGGGGAAAGGGTTGAATGGCGGGGCACAGAGAGAAGACTCCAATTTTTTTCTTAAGCTTAAAGGCAAGTGACGGAAAGTGAGAGGTTACCTCAAAGGAGGGGAGGATGGGAGCAGCGGAGTCGGCAGCGACAGCAGCGAGCATGTCGGCTGCAGGTGTGAGGGCGAGAGAGTCTGATGGGTGGAACGGCGCCAGGAGTAATGCTGGCTCCACCGAGTGACCCGGGAACTGTAAGAAGGGTAGAGTTGCAAGGGAGAGAAAGGAAAGGCAGGTGTGAGGGCGAGTGAGTCTGACGGGTGGGGAAGGGTGCACGCAGCAACACCGGCTCCACTCAGTGCCCGGGGAACTCTAGGAAGGGTAGAGTAGCAGCAAGGGTGAGACAGAATACGGCAGGCGTGAGGTTGAGAGGGTCCAAGGGGGTGGGAGGCTGGCAGCAGAAATGCCAGCTCCACTGAGAGCTCTGGCCCCCTTTTGAGGACCGGTAGTAGTTGGGAGGGCAATTGGAGAGGGGACAGGGAAGGGGAGGGAATCAGCTATGCCTGATAGAAGTTTCAGGCTACCAGTAACTTTCAGGGCTTGACAACTTGTACTGCACCCTCAGTACCCTCACAGTCTCACCCCCCAATACTCCTTCACATTCACATTCACGTACACACGCACCGCAGTCATGAATGCAGCAGCTGACACCTCCCCCAGCTGCAACTATCATATGTCTGTAGCCAAAAGTGCACCCCAATGCTGCACCGCACTCAACACACTACTGCACCACACTCACCGCAGCTACAACTGCAGCAGCTATCTTCTCCCCCAGCTGCACCTGCACCTCCTCCTCTTTGCTGCTCGCCCCTGCCAGCTCAGCCGCCGCCCGCTCTGAGTCAGCAGGCGAGCCGAACGCACTCTGAGAGGTGGGCGGGCGGCGCTCTGAGAGCGTGCCGTCGGGATTGATGACGTGGAAGGGGTTGGCCTGGCGTGGGGGGCAGAGGGAGGGAGGGGGAGAGGTGGCGGAGAGGGAAGTGGGGGGAAAGTGGTGGCAGAGGGGAAAGAAGGGGGGGGAGTGGGGGTATTGGGAGACGGAAAGGGAGGGAGAGCATATGAGCGAGGGTATGGGGTTATGCATGGCAGCAGGCAGAACAGTCGATGAGATGCCAAGCAGGCACGCACACACACATGCTAGAGCAGGTGCGCTAGGGAACTAAAAGCAGCAGAGAGGGAAGCACAGGAAGACAAGTCAGACGTGCAAGAGCAGCCACCCCCAGAGAAAACACCCACCAGAGCAGCCGACGAAGCCTCTTCAGACAGGACAAACGCCGCCACCTCCTCCATGCCCAGGCTGCCAGCCAGACCTGCAAGCATGGCAGTGGCTACAGTGAACACCGACCGCCGATCCACCGGCCCTATCGTCCACTCCGCCTCTCCCCCACCCCCTCCCCCCTCTTCTTCTACTTCCGCCCCTGCACCCCCTCCCCCTCCCCCATCTGCCCCTTGTGCTGCAACGGAAGGCAGAGAGAGGGCCTTTCGGCGGAGGGAGAGAGCGAGCTGGAAGGACTGGAGGAGCGAGGAGGACAGGGATTGCGAGGAGGGGGAGGCGGGGGAAGAGGGAGGGGGAGGTGGGGCGGAGAGGCAGGGCAGGAGGGCGTGGAAGGTGGAGGAGAGGGCACAGAGGGACTTGGGGGCGGTGGAGGGCATGGCTGCTTGCAGCCAGAGCGCGGATAGTAGCAGAGGGAGTTGGGACGGCGAGGGGGACAGAGGGGGCCGTTTAATGTCCTCTATGGAGGCCAGTGGATGAGCAGCAGAAGCACTGGTGGTGACAGCACTGGCTGCAATAACGAGGCCGTAGCAGTCCCTGTCATTTGGTGGGAAGGCTGCAGGGCCCCGGAGAAGCAGCTGCAGCAGGTGGTGGGCAGCGTCTCTTGTCTCGGAGTGCGGGTGCAGGAAGGCACGGAGGATGCTGAGGAGCGCAGCATCCGGGAAGCTTCCCTGTTTCATAAGTAGTGGAATTTGAGGAGAAAACAAATGACAAGGGGATCAGGGCTTAGGAAAACCACAGGAGGAGCAATGCGAGCAGAACAACCTTCAGACAAGCACAATGACTCACCAAGGTTCCAGACCCCTTCCTGTTCCCCTCCTCCCCCTCATCCCCTTCCCCCCCCTCCTCCCCCTCGTTTCTCTCCACGGCCACAGCCACGGGCAGCACGACAACGGCGGCAGCAGCCTCTGCAGCAACGAGTGTGGCCCAGGAGCCCCAGGGGTCGGACGGCAGGGACTCGAGGAACACTGCCGTGTCGTCCAGCAGCAGCGCTGCTCGGTCCTTTGGACTGCCCGCCTGGTGTGAGGGTAGGGGAGAGGGGAGGGGGAGGGGGGAGGAATTCACACAGGTTGAGAGCGAGGAGGATGCATGCATGGGCCCAGGAGCCTCAGGGGTCGGACGGCAGAGACTCGAGGAACACTGCTGTGTCGTCCAGCAACAGCGCTGCTCGCTCCCTGGGACTGCCCGCCTGGTGGTTGGTTTGTGGGGAGGGAACAGGGAGACAGGGGAGTGAAAGGAGTGAAGGGGAGGGACGGCAGGGACTCGAGGAACACTGCAGTGTCGTCCAACAACAGCGCTGCTCGGTCCCTGGGACTGCCCGCCTGGTGGGGGGCGAAGGGGACGAGGCAGGGGTGCAGGGGGAGCAGGAGGGAAAGGGGGAGAGTGAGAGGGGCAGGTGAGCAGGGGGGAAGGGGGACATGGAGGCAGGGGGGCAAGTGGGGAGGAGGGCGGCGGAGAGTGAAGGGATTGAGAGATGTGAGAGAAAAAAAGAATCACTAGGGATTGGCGAGTAAGGAGGGTGCACATACAGACAAACAAGCCTTACTCACATGCAACAATGTCACGAGCACCAGCAGCTTCAGCGCCTGCTCCTGCAGAGCAGGCTGCTCGCCTTGTCTCCGTCTGAACGACACGCCACCCCCCACCTGCCCCTCCCCTATGATATTATCGTCCATGCCGCCCCCCTGTTTCTCCTCCACTATACTGCGCTTCAGTATCCGCAATAAGTCGCCCACAGCCTGCACCTCACTCGCTGCCTCCGGCCCTCCTCTCATGCTCACCGCCCCTCCCGCTCCCCCTGCGCTAATCTCCCTTTTCTCCTCCCCAATCCCAGGCCCTCCCCCTGCGCCCTGTCCCCCGGTTTCCTTCCCCCCGTCCGCCCACTTCCCCCCGTCCGCCAGCAGCAGGTGCGCCATCTGCAGCCCCCCCGCGACAGCAAGGGCGTCGTGGCGCATGCGGGGGGAGCGCAGGGCGGGGGAGGAGTCCGCGTGGCGGATCACTGCTGCTAGCAGCGCCAGAAGGAGCCGCCGCTCCTCCTTGGTGGGCGAAGGAGAGCGAGTGGCTGGGAAGCGGGAGTCGGGGAGGGAGTAAGGGAGAGAGACAGAAAGAAGAGAAGAAGGCTGAGTAGTGGACGGGGAAGTACAGGGGGAGGGCGCGGGGAGTCCCCAAAAAAAATTGCCAGGAACACATGCACCCACCCAGGAAACGGAGAGTAGACATGTATCCTCTAACAACTGCCCTGAAACCCCTCCCCTTGTGTACGACCCAAAAATATGACAAGTCTCTATGGTGAATACCTGCTAGTAACGCGACCACTCACCCAGGAACCGGAGAGCCAGACAGATATCCTCTAACATCTGCCCTGCAACCCCTCCCCTGCCTGCCGCCCCCGCCTCCGCCCCTGCCCCCGCTGCTGCTGCTGCTGCTGCGTCGCCTTGGCTAGCAGGCGCGGCCCAGTGGGAACCGTTGGAGAGGTAGAGCAGCAGATGCGCCAGCACCTGCTGCGAGGAGAGGGACACCGCGGCTGCAAACATGTGCGCCAGCGCCCACACCGCCACCAGCGCCGCTACTTCTGGGTGCTGTAGCTCCTGCCTGGTGGGTGGGGGAAGGGATCGGGGGCAATGGGGAGTGAGTTAGAGTCCGAAGACTTGTATGAGGGGTGCAACCCAGTGGTTTTGAGGCGCCTCGAAGTCGGCCCAGTGGGAGCCGTTGGAGAGGTAGAGCAGCAGATGCGCCAGCACCTGCTGTGAGGAGAGAGGCACCGCGGCTGCAAACATGTGCGCGAGAGCCCATACCGCCACCAACGCTGCCACTTCTGGGTGCTGTAGCTCCTGCCTGGGAGGTGGGAGAAGGGATGGGGGGCAACGGGGGGAATAGAAAAAGATTTCGTTTTAAAACGAGAGCGTGAAGCTCAGAATAAAAGGGCGTGCGTGAGAGAGGTAGGAAGGCGAGGTGCTCTGAAATCAAGGAGTAAGGGATAGTACTGACTTGGAGGGCAGTGGAGTGACCAGCTTCCTCTCCTGATGCAGCCCCTCTTTCTCCTTGCCACCACCCCCTTGCTGTTGTTGCTGCTGCTGAAGAGTCAGCTTCTTGAGAGCCTCGTGCGTCCTCTCCCGCACCTTCTCCGCTGCTGCTGCCCCCTCGTCCCCGGCGCCTGCTGCGTGCGGCTTGTAGTTGTCCAGCACGGCCGCCAGCAGCTGCAGGGGCACGGGCGAAGAGGGAAAAGGGGGGGATGGGAATGAAGATTTGGGCCTGCCCTGTACCTGCATATGCTGCTGCGTGCAGCTTGTGGGGTTGGAGGAATGGCGGTCTGCCCTGGTCACGACACAGGACCGAAAGGAAGTTAAATGAGAGAGGGGGGGGGGTAAAGGAGGGAGGCTGGTGGGAGGTTACTTGGTTAAGGCACGAAAACGATAGACGGGGATGGAAAGGAGTGGGAAGGAGTGAGAGGGACACGGACGAAGAAGGGGAAAGGGGGTGGTGGGAGGTTACCTGGTCAAGGCAGTCGCAGGGCTGGGAGAAGTAAGAGACGAAGAGGATCTGTATTGGTCGGGGGGGAAGAGGGGTGAGGGGAGAGGGGCGTCACGCAGCAAGGAATCAGGTGAGGCAACGCCGAGGGCATGACACGTTGCATGCCGTAATAAGCACGTGGCAAGCGGAGCATGACACGGGGTGAATCGCAGGAGGAACGCAATGCAGCTCAGCGGGTCTTTGTGCACAGTGTACTAACCACAGCGGCGATAGCTCTTAACGCGGACGACCTGGCGGCCCGGGAGTCTTCCTGCGAGCCGGCCTCGTGCGCCATGGCGACGAGCGTGGGGCACAGCTTCTGAATGGGCGCGGCGTACGCGGCGTCCGACTGGCAGTCCACGAAATCCGCGAGCAGGTCGCAGCCCAGCACGCGCACGTCCACTCGCTTGCTCTGCAGCAGCTTCTGCACCACGCTCAGCACGCTCCACGCCAGCAGCGCGCTGTCGACGACGAAGAAAGAGCCAACAGGGGGGAGGTTTAGAGGCAGGGAGAAGGAGAGAGTTGGGAGACGGTGAGGAAACGTAGGAAATCAACGCCGGGATGCGAGTGACGTGAGGTTGTTTGCTGTGGGTTGGGGATGGGGGAAGTAATGGCAGAAGGCCAGGCCAGGGGGTGTCATTCGATGCAGAGAGGTGGTAAGTGAATATGCACTCACAGGGAGCTCTGACACGAGGAGAGCAGTTTCGAGTACGACCGAGCCACGGCGGGTAGCGAGTTGAACCGCTCGGCGCGCAGCTCTCGAATGGCTCGCTCCTCCAGCTTCGCCACGATCTTCGGAATGCGGTCCGGGTTTCCCGCCGCGTAATCCGCGAGCTTTCCTATCTGCTTCTCGTCAACGTTTCCTTTCTGGTCGAAGACAAACGGAACAGCCGGGAGACGCGGAGAGGTGGAACTGGAATGCAGGATGAGACGCGAACAAGGGAGCAAGAGTTCTACAACGAAAGTGGTGCTTCTGTACCATTGAGGTTGGTCATCGCTAGAACTACATTCAGTGGGGTCTAAGACGTACATCTGACGCTGAGAAAATCGCGGCGAGGTACTGCTTGTAGCGCTTCATGGGTTTGCGAGAGCGCGAGCGCATCTGCGGACAGGGAAAGCAGAAGACGTCCGCGCACAGCGGCAATACTCGCCGCGAAAGGACCCCCATCTTGCTTCGAGCCCTGAGCGACGAATTACTTCGGAGTTTTTACTCAATCCTGAGCCTTTAACCTGAGCTGCAGATTGAGTTCTTGAAAGAGCCGGAATCGACGGTGGAAGTGTAAAAACCAATCTTCACATAAATATTTGCCGAACGCTCTAGCAGTTTTCCGAACTAATTAGGTTGATGCCGTCGTAGCTTGCTTCTGTCTAGGCTGAAGACATAACACAAGAACTACGTTGAGAAGACTGGTGCGTGGAGGAGTGTCTTGTTCTTGGGAATGCAATTCATCAGGTACTTGTGGCATGAACGGAATCGTGCCCCTCAGGAATATCCGTGGGTGCTTGCTTTGCGTGGTTGAGTTTGGTTTGTTCTGGTCAGGCTGGAGAAGTTTGGGTTGAAAGGAACGCGCCTTGGGAATGCCCATTCACAGGTCCCACACGGTCAAACCAGCCACAGCTGGGTGTTTCCGTGCCATGCCAAGCGCGCGAGGGTAAGTGGGGAGGGGACGGAAAATGGTGGGCGGAGGGTGCAAGTCTCGAGGTCCGCCAACGCAGCGCTGCCACGTTTCCCACTGATGCTGGGTCCGCATACGGAGCGCAGGCCAGCTGCACCGCGAGATGGGACCGAGCCCCACCCAAGTGGTGGCGGAAATCCCTAACGGTTGATTCGTGAGCGATGCTACAGTACTTCAACATGTCACGCAATTTCACATTCACTGACTTTCAGTGAAAACATATCACTTCTAGTAGGTTCACATCCCCTGCATAACCATATGGTATTTCAAACCCTCTTATCCTCTTTGGAAGTCTCAAACCATAGCACTTTAATTGGCAAACCACGTCTACAAATACATCACACCGTGCTGCAGCCATTTGAGAAAACAAAATCTAGATCAAGAAGCCCCTCCTGTGGCTAAATTTGCTGCTGGAGATGGTTGTTGTGGAACTTCCACCTGCCCATTGACATCAACACCACCATTCCCTAACTGCATCTGCGCCTGTGACTGGGCTGCTGCCAATTGCTCCCTCAGAGCAACCACTTGTCGCTGCACATTACAGCAGTACACAGAATGAGTGTCAAAACATGGAGCAATCAGACATGCTAAGGCAATGCACACGTAAGCGAAACACCAACCAGCACCATCTTTACTGTACCTGGAGCACGCAGAGAATGCCAACGCAGCCATAGACTGGATCCTGCACCCGGGCCTGTGCCTCATACTCTAGACTCGCCACTGCATCCTCCCTCTGGTGTAGGGGCAGTTCCTGATGCATGGTGCAGTCACGGCCACAGGGCATGAACACAAGGGAGAAAAGAGCAATGGGAAACTGCAAATCAGTTGTGTTGATAAGATGGGAAATTGGGCTTGGGTACAATGCGGCATGCCAAGTACAGAACATCCAACAGTCGGATAAGGAATTGTCAGGGGAATGATGAGAGTAGGGCGAGACAGGCCATGAGACCATTAGAGAAGGTGAGGGTATTCAGTTGGGCTCACCTGCAGCATCTTGGACACGTTACTGGCTCCGAACACCTTGTGCACGCGCGCAAACTTCTCAGGATCGTCACGGGGAAAGTAGGGCAGGAAGATGCACTCGCGCGTGCACTTCCGCCGCAGCGACTTGCACGCCGCGCACGGCGGGTCGTGCATTGACCCTGCGACCCCTGGCGACGCTGCGACTCCTCCTGGCGACGGTCCTACTCCACCCGGCGACGCACCTACTCCGCCTGGCGACGCTGCGACGGCTCCGGGAGTACCCGTAGCGGGAGATGGGGAGGGACTGGGCGCAACAGTAAGCGGAGATGCCTGCACAACCGTGACCGCAGACGCGTGCGCAGCAGCGGAGGCGGGGGAGGGGGAGTGCGGTTGGTGCGCGCGGACAGGGGTAGATTGAGACGCGTCGGCAAAATGCGCGCGGACAGGGGTAGAGGCAGCGGAGACAGGTTTGGAGCCGCCATGCGTTAGCTCCAGCGCGACTGACGGAGCGCTGGGGGGAGCCATGGCGGTAGTCAAGGGCGATCCACCGATCCCGTTGTTTCCAGAAACCGGGCCGACTGCATGCGACGCGGTGACCGGCGTGTTGAATGGTTGATGAGGGGACGCGTACGGTTGCTGCGGGGAGGTGAATTGCTGGGGTGCGCCGTACGCTTGCTGCGGAGAGGCGTACGCTTGTTGCGCGGAATACTGCGCCTGGGCTTGACCAGGGGAAGGAGACGGCGATGATTGCGGCGGTTGCTGCTCGTGGCCGTCTGTGGGAGTAGGGAAGCCGTTGTAGCCTTTGTGCCGCTTGCTGGGTGTGTGCACGTCGTCGCGCGTGGAGTCCATCGGTTTCAGGATCTCTAAGACGGCGTACGATGCGAATTCTGTAGACTAGGAAACGGCTGTCGGACAGGCCAAGTTATTCTGCTACTGTTGTTTAATACCGATGTTGTTCAGGCCAACGATACGCACAGCAGGACAAGAGATCCTCTTTGTCTTGACTTCTGGAATATACAAAAAATCTGCTTAGGAAGGTTGTTTGCGAAACAATGCCTGCTCGTAGACCCCGCTGAATCTTCCAAAAGAAAAGCTGACGAGCCGTGAGAAAAAAAGGTACAAGCGTCGAACGTTCCGTAGTACGAAATTCGGCTGGACTCGCAAAAAATAAAGGATGATCCGAGGTTTACACGTGCGACGCGAAGCGTGGGTGGGAGATTACGGAAGCAGCCGACCTCACTGACAAAGAGGACGGCACGGAGTACAAGGCTGGACTGAACTACCCTAGGGTGTCTTCTCAAAGGCACCATCAGCCTAGTGAGGCGGGTTTGCTGTGAGTTTTCCATGCGCAAGTTCCGCAGCCTTCGGCGGGGTTGATGGTGTTGAGGTGGCGGAGAATGAAGTGGAGCAGGGGGGGTGGAGCGAAGGGGAGCGGAGAAGATGGAAGTGGGGAGGGAGTACGAGGGGAGGGGGGAGCGAGACTAGAAAGAATGACGGGGAGGGGGGGTTCTGTTTGCAGCAGCTGTACGTGGATTTGTTGGAAGGAGAACAAACGATTCGTGGGGAGAATGACTGGCGGAACTACAGGGGAACAAGAGGGTTTGCTATGCCAAACGGAGCGGCAATCGAGAAGAAATTGGGATCAGCAGGGGCAAAATGCGGAGCTTCGGGGAATTTCCAAGGACATAGTTGCGCGACACGCTGGATTGTGTTGCGGTGTTGCGGGGATGGTGCACGCACAAAGTGCCGCGTGAAGCGCCCATTGCCTCGGCGGGCCCGCCGCCGTGGCGAGCGGACTTCCGTGCCAAGACCAGCTTTCCGCCGTTCGATATTGGCCTCGACGGCACCGATTGAAACATTTGTGAAAGTCAAGCCTCATTGGCTTGTGGTTGAGGAAAAAAAATCTCTAAGCTCTACAATCCAGTTCGATTGGTAAATCGACTACATACATAGACATACATAGCTTCTCTCTGTAGGTGCTAGTATACAAAATTGAGAAGTGACCTAGTTTTCAGCAAACCACCTGGCCACTGCATCTCTTAGCACCAAGCCATTTGGGTTTGCTTCTGACCAATTGGAATATGCCAATGCGCAATGGCTTGTTCCATTAGATATCCACGAACGGAATGGGACGTTTCTTGCTGCCTTGACTTGTAGGAGGGATGATATTGAGCTCCGAAACATGCTTCCATGAAGTGTGATGAACTTCAGGACGCTTGCTGGGCAAGACGAGAAGCCATTTGAGCTGAGGCATGTCGTTGCTGATTGTGTAAGAGCACCCCCATGGATTTTGCCACGGGCCAAGGACATGTATAGTGCGGTCAAATCAAACACGCTGTTGACAACAAGTGTGGGTTTCTTACTGTACTCCAGTGCAGTACGGGGCATGATGCACTTCCATGTGCCATTCCCCGTGTTGGCTGCAGTAGGGGGACAGGAAAACAATGAACACACTCGTATCAGCTTTATGTGTAGAACGAAACAAGAAAACGGAAAGTAGGAAAGGTGTGAAAGAAACAGGTTTATACATTAAGAAAGCATTCTCTGTACCTTTTAGGCACTCAGTGTTGAGAGATCGATCGGACCAATGGGAGGCAATCATGCGCTGCATATAGGATCGGAATGTGAACTGCCCTGTGATGTCCGCCTCATCTGAAGGCAGTGGGCGAGAGACAGATGAGTCATAAGAGGCGGGGCAAGGAGGTAATAGAAGGGTACACAGCCTCAATGGGCAAACCACCCTGCTATGTCACCCTTTGTATCAAACAGCAGCATAGGGATGAGAAGGGTAGCATGACAGGGAGGAAGGGCACGCTCGAAAGCAGCAGGGCAAAGCAACCACAAAAATGCCACAAAGACACCTCTAAGCAGCGAACCAACGGTGGCAACATCGAGGCAGCATACAAGACGGGGTCATACCCAGAAAGAAGGACGCATCAGTAGCGCACTTGACTTTAGCGGAGCGTGGCAGAAACGAGGCCATCCAGTCACACCCCACTGCGACAGCCTGCCCTCCCGCTGAACACCCGGCGATGAGAGCCGATGCTGCTGTTCCCATGCCCCTCCGCTGCTGCAGGTCAATCAGAGTGTTCTTGAGAATGTGGTGGCCTGAGAGGAAGACTCTCTTAGAGCCCTGCTGCATGCGTCCTTTGTACCCCATATAAGCGCCTCCGTCGCAGTACATGACAACTGCCATGTTCCAGTTGTGGAAAAAGGGGTTGTTGGCTGCGTTGCCGCTGAGTATGCCTGTGAAGCTCATGCGGTAACCAGCCATCTGACATGGTGGGAAGGAAAAAAGAGAGTGGGGAGATGAAGGTTAAAACACGAGGCGAAGAAAAGGTGCGTGGGAGTGGGAATGTGGAAGGGAATGTATGAGGCATGGGGCTGATGAAAGAAGCAGGAACACGAGCATGAGAACAAGCGCATGTGTACATGTAGGCACGTGGGCACACGGAGGCATATGGGAACGTGGGCATGTGAGAAGGAGTGGGCATACTAGGTGGGTGAGATTGGAGGGCGAGGAGGGCGAGGGCCAGTAGCGGGAGGACCCGCGGTAGGAGTCGGCTCGCAAGGCACAGTCGTTGAAGTTGAGGCACCACCCGCCACCCTGACATGGGAGATTGGGGAGTGGAGATAGAGATACGGGAGATGGGGAGGGGGAGATGAGGAACGGGGAGATGAGACACGAGGCACAGTCGTTGAAGTTGAGACACCCACTCGCCGCCCTGACAGGGAGGGATTGAGGAGGGGGAGATGAGAAGCGGGAGATGGGAAGGGGAGACGAGAAGCGGGAGATGGGAAGGGGGAGACGAGAAGCGGGAGATGGGAAGGGGGAGACGAGAAGCGGGAGATCGAAAGGGGGAGACGAGAAGCGGGAGATGGGAAGGGGGAGACGAGAAAGCGGAGATGGGAAAGGGGGAGACGAGAAGCGGGAGATGGGGAGCGGAGAAACAGTGACATTCAGATGGATGGAAGCAGGAGCAGGTAAGGCGTCCCACATGTAATCAGTCCCCGTACCCAGTCCCTGGCGAACAGTAGATAGCCCAACTTACATGCAGGTAGACGAGCCATGAGTTGGAGCCATTGCCATAGCCCTGGCGGAAGTAGTAGCTGGCGGGCTGCTCGCACACACTCGCACGCACCACACACACGCACCACACGCACGCACACACGCACGCACACACACACGCACACACACACGCACACACACACGCACACACACACCACACACACACGCACACACACACGCACACACCACACGCACACACACACGCACACACACACGCACACACACACGCACACCACACACGCACACACGCACGCACACACGCACACACGCACGCACACACACACACACACGCACACACACGCACACACACACGCACACACACACGCACACACACACGCACACACACACGCACACACACACGCACACACACAATACACGCAATACATGCAATACATGCAATACATGCAATACATGCAGAGCACACAATGGGCACAATAGCCACGCGAAGAGAGCACACACACACACACACACACACAGACAACCCTCCCCCTCCCATCATCCCCCCTCACACGCACAAAAGATATACACACACACGTACAATATGCATTGAAGGTTTTATTGACGTGTGAAGCCATACAAATGCCACGCGAGCACAACCCGTCAGAGACGTACCTGCCATCCAGGCAGAACGAATTATTGCCTGCCACGTGGAACAGCTGAATCTTGGGTCTGATTGGTGGAGCGCCTGACGGCTTGCCTTTGCTGGGAGGTTTCGCTTCAGCAGGAGGTTTGGTATGCGCCGGCGGCTTCGTCTGATTGGCTGGCTTAGATTGGGTAGGAGGTTTGGTCTGTACTGGAGGTTTCGGAATGGTGGAAGGCTTGGGTTGGGTGGGCAGCCTGGTATGGGTGGGAGGCTTGGTAGTCTGGGACCCAGGTGTGGGTTTGGTTTGCGGGGGTTGTTTTGTATTTAGAGGTGGTTTGGTCCGGGGTGGTGGTTTGGTAGTGCCTGGTTTGGTAGCCGGCTGCTTGGCAGAGGGTTGCTTGCCCTGTGACGGCTTTTTGCCCCTGTGAAGGCTGTTTGCTCTGCGACGGCTGTTTGCTCTGCGACGGCTGTTTGCTCTGCGACGGCTGTTTGCTCTGCGACGGCTGTTTGCTCTGCGACGGCTGTTTGCTCTGCGACGGCTGTTTGCTCTGCGACGGCTGTTTGCTCTGCGACGGCTGTTTGCTCTGTGACGGAATCTTCATAGGCGAGGGGGATCTGGTTGCCTTGTGTCGCGACGCTGACGTGGCTCCTCCAGGTTCATTCGCCTGCGAGCCGGGTTCGCTCTGCGCGGGTGTTCCGCCCTGCGCGGGTGTTCCGCCTTGCGCGGGTGTTCCGCCTTGCGCCGGCGGCTTCGTTCCCGCGGACGGTGCTCCCTTGCTCCACCTCTTGCTGCCCGATGGACTTGCCGCGGACGCGTTTGACTTGCCAGCGACCGGAACCTTTGGTGATGCAGAGGAAGCTTCCCGCGGCTGCCATTCTTTCGCGGGCAGCTTGTCAGAAGGCTTGGTCGAATTACTACTACTCGGGTCGGGCATTCTAGAACTTAAAATTAGAGCTTGCATTACGGCTAGTAGCGGCGGGCTTGGTCGTATTGCGAGCCGGCACGAGAAGAGAAACCACCGCGTCTTTTTCTTGCTTCCCTGCCGCTGCACTCCCCTTGCTGTCTCCTGTCTGCGCCGCTGATGCGAACCTCCTTTACTCCCTTCTTTACTCGAAGTCTT